CTATGTTCTCATTTTCATTTGTTTCAAGTTATCTTTTGATTTCTTTCTTGATCTCTTTGTTAACTCATTCTATGAGTTAATCATTTATCATACAGGTCTTTGTGTGTTTTTTTTATTTGTTTTCATGTGATTGATTTCTAATTTTTATTTTCTGTTCTGACTGTGCGTTTTCTGCTACGTTGTCTTCCAAATCACTGACACAATCCTCTGCGTCATCCAACCTAGTGTTTCTTCCTTCCAGTGTATTCTTCATTTCAAATATTATATTCTTTATTTCTTACTGGTTCTTTTTTATGGCTCCTGTGTCCTTTTTTATGCCTGCTATCTCTTTGTTGAGGTTCTTACTAAGTTCCTTCTGCTGCCTTATAACCATTTTTTAAACTTTATATCTGGTAGATAGCTTGCCTCCATCTCATTTAGCTCTTTTTTTTTTAGATTTCTCCTGTTTTATTTGGGGCAGGTTTCTTTGTCTTCCTATTTTGGCTGCCTTTTTATGTTTGTTTCTATGTATTAGATAGATATACTATGACTCCCAGTCTTAGTCTGTTGGCCTTATGTAGTAGGTGTCCTATGGGATCCAGTGTCACTGCCTCATTGATCACCTAACCTGAGTGGTTCAGGAATATCCTTTTTGTGGCCCCTTCTGGTGTAATTCAGTTTTCATTGCTTTTGGCCTACTTGTGTGTGGTGTTGACCCTAAGGCTGAGTGACTGTGAGGATTGATCCTGACCACAGTCTACAAGCTTTTCTGTATGCCCTGACCACATGAAGCAGAATTCTCTTCATCAGACCTAGTGCCTGCCAAGATCTCCCTTTGGATATGCTGCTTGTGAAGCTAATCGGATTCTGCTCTGATGTTATCTGGAATTGGCCACTGATTGTGTTTTTTCTGAGACCTCTTGGGGGGGGGAGTGTGGTGCAAACCAATGTCAAATGCTGCCTTTGACTGGCCCTGGGAAACCATTTTGGAGCTACAAAGTTGTATACAGTTTGTGCCTGTGTTTTTGTCAGGAGGATGAAGCTGTGCACCAAGGCTGGCTTTTACCTATGCTGGGCCCAAGGGCAAGTCAGCAAAAAGTCCAAAGGCACCCTGAGAGCCTCCTCCACCTGCCTTCATCTGTCTGCTGCTTGTTAAGCTCAGTCACTGAAATAGCCTCTAGTAGTACTGAAGTTGCATGAAATAGTGTGGGGGGGCTCCACCCGCAGAGCCCTCCATCCACCACAGATGAGAGTAAGTCTACCAAGACATGCACAATCTGCTTGGGGAAGAAAGGTGGCCAGTCTCTCAAAGGAGAAGAGCCAGGAGTCTGTTCCTCAATGGGCTTTTATTGGGTTCAGTTTGCACAGGAATACAGGTAAAGTTTATCAATCATGTCAGGCAGTAATGATCAAACAATAGACAACATTCAAAGAACTATGAGAACTTATTCTGAGTCAGGGTCATATAGCTAAAGGGCTATAAAACTTTGGGGAAACAAACTTATTCTATGCTAGGACCCTCATCATTTAGATTGAGGGTATTAGCAAAACAGGTTTCACAGGATTTTATGCTTTCTTAGGCCTGATTGCCCACGGGAACCCTCCCTTTCCACTACAGGGCCACACATATCTCTGGCATTGTTTCAGGCTTAAGTCAGGTGGGGGAAGTAAGGCAGCCAAGAGATTAGGAGACTTCTTGCAGACAGAATGAGGACTTAGGCTATGTCAAAGCTGAGAGGCAAGGGTCCATCATTCCCTTTTTCTATAGCCCCCTAAGTCCTTTCCTGAAGGCCCCTTCATGACCATGCCTGTCTTGGGTCATCTCTCCCTTGAGGAATCTTACCCATCATTGGCTAACCAGTCATCCACCCAGGGCCAAGCAGGGTGAAGTAAAAGGGGGCAGAGGCAGTGCCCCTGTCAGGAAGATAAGCTTTGTCTCCTTAGTGACTTTAGTGAAGAACTTTAGTGAAATTGAAAAGTAAAGCAGGACTTTGGGACTCCTGTGGATTTATGTGGGAGATGAGACAGAAGTAGAAATCACAGGTAACTAAACCTGAATAACTGTAATAATGACAGTCACATTAACAAAAATGTGAAAATCAAGGATGCAAACCAGACTTAGAAAGAAGATGGTGAGTTTATTTTTACACACTCTGAGTTTAGGGTAACTTGAGTAACCACACAAATATGTCTAGCAAGCAGTGAGGTATTTTCCCCTTCTAATTCAATTCAACAAATATTTACTGAACATCTATCATATACCACTCATTATCCTTGTGATATTGTCAAATAACACACAATCTTTGACCTCCAGAGCTCATGCTTAACTAATAAATATCTATAGTATAAGGTAGTAAATTGTATAATCAAATTATATATAAAGTATCATAGGAATATAATAAGGGACCAATTGTTTTCAAAGCAGGTGAGAAATAGTTGCAGAAGTGATGAACTTTAAGCAGGGCATGGAAAGACAAGTAGAAGTTTGTTCAGTAAACAACTAGAGAAATGACTTAATTGAAAGGAGGGCCTCAATCAAAGGTACAGGATATGGAGGTACAAGAAGTCTAAGGGACAACAAGTAGTCTGACTAAAGAGAATGGAATAACATAATAATGTATCATACAAAAAAGGTAACAATTGTCAAAAACTGAAGGTAGGAATTTTGTTACACTCCACTCAGGTGGAAGTATAGTGTAACAGTTAAAGTCGTGGACTTCAGTCAGATTCCCTGGGTCCAAATCCCATCTCTGCCACTTACTTGGAGTGCATCCTTGAACAAGTCACTTAGTCTGTGACCAGGCTTCCTCACCTGTAAAATGAGACTAATGATATCTGCCTCAATGAGTTGTTTTGGTGATCGAGAGAATTAGTAAAGTTGTATCTGTAGGGGGTTTGTTCCAGGATCCCTTGCAGATCCTAAAATCTGTGGATACTCAAGACTCATATAATATATAAAAGGACATTGTATTTGCATATAACCTACACACATCTCCCCTATACTTTAAATATCTCTCAATTACTTATAATACCTAATACAATGTAATTACTATGTAAATAGTTATTATACTGTATTGGTTAGGGAATAATAACAAGAAAACAGTCTGTACATGTTTAGTACAGATGCAACATTCATAGGCCTAACTACATAGTATGTATCAGCAACAATGTAACATTTTTTCCTAATATTTTCAAGCTGTGGTTGGTTGAATTCAAGGGTGCAGGACCTGTGGATATTGGAGGGCTGACTGTACATGTAAACTGGTTAGGACAGTACCTGGCATATAGTGAATGTTATGTAAAGGTTAGTCTAAGGAAAAACTTACAAGAAACAAGACAGTAAACCATTGTATACTACACTATCAGCAGCCTCAAAAAGAAACTATAAATAAGAATGATCTAAGTCTCCAGATACTCCAAGCAGAGAGCCAAAGATGACTAGATGAATCTTTTATTCTCATCTAGAAGAGATGTGTAGGAATTCCTTTGAAAGGGTGAGATTATTTCCTAAGAAAGGTGTATCCAATTTAGGGAAAGGGTGAAGAGTCAGAGAAGTATTATAATGGACAAAGTACAACTGTTCATTCAGAATAAATGGAAGCTGTCATTATAGTATTCCCCCCAGAAAATGGAAATAAAATAAAATAAGGTTGAAATTCAGCAAGCATATTTAACTTCAGTTAAATAAACAGAAAATTGGCCAATAGTAATTTTAAAGGATGAGAGAGGAGGCAGCAGAGTCCAATGACAGGTATTTTTCTGGGCTTAAATATATAAAGGAACCCTCTGAAAGGAGCTAGCAATTGGAAATGCAGCCCTACCTTGCTAATGAAGCACATCTAGGCCCTTGAGATTTGATGCTCTCAAGTAACCCTTTGTCTGTTCCTCAGTCTCCTAGAGCTCTGCACAAGTGATCCTTGAATAGACTCTTGAAATGATTATGCTTCCCTGTGTGACTGCTCTGTGTACTGCTGAAATGGAACTGAACCTCATCTGCCCACCCAGCCCGCCCAGGGGTCTCGCTTGACAGAACTCAGTTTGAATTTTGGTTTTACCACTTACTAGGTGTATGATATTGAGTAAGTCACTAAAATTCTCTGAGTTTCAGTTTCCCCATCTGCAAAATGGGAATAAAAATAACTCTATATTGTAAAATGGTTATGATAATTACATGAAATAATTGATCTCTAAAGCAGTTGGCATATTAAGTGCTTAAAAGATGCAAGTTGATTTCCCCTTCTTTTCCCTTTACACTTGGGCAGCACAAAAATCCTCTGCTTTTGTTTAACCCTTTTGGGAGCTTCACATCATTTAACGTCAATAGTAGTGGGGATAGTAATAAGGAAAAATAAGTACATGGAAAAACAATAATCAATGGTGGCTTTTTTTCCCAACCCAACCCTGATTTTGCAGTGGAGATACTTTGACATAGCAATTGTCCCAAACAGAAAGGTGACAGCCCAAGGTGAGAAATATCTACTAAGACATAATGACAACTGTGTGAAAATACACCTATACATGCACATATTTAATGTGAAGATATACCTGCACATTCATGTTTCAAAATTATAAGAGAATAAAGAAAGATGAAAACATGTTTGTTAGGATAGTAAAAATGTGTTGTAATGTTATCTTAATATTATGAAGCCTGTGAAGAGGGATACTCTTTCCATGACATACTTAAATTTCCTTACCCTCTTTCCAAAAGAACAGCAGGAGGACAGGGTGCTGTAGTAAAGGGAATTGCACAGTGCGAATAACATGCCCCATCTCATCTGTCCTTCTGCCTAGCCTTCCATTAACCATCATGATCTACCAGAAGCCAGAGAGTTTCCTGTCTGTGGTGCTTCAATGCCCTTGCATCATTAATATCATCATCTCTACCCTTCTTCTAGGAGTGGATCTTATGAGGGAGGTATGGAAGGAGTTGTGCATGCTTAGCTGTCAGTTCAAACCTTTCAGAGAGCCAGCAGGGGACAAAGGCAGCAATCACTGTGTAACATTCTGGACTTTCTTGACAGGTGAATACTGCTATGCATGAGGCAAAACTTATGGAAGAATGTGACGAGTTGGTAGAGATCATCCAGCAGAGGAAGCAAATGATTGCTGTCAAAATCAAAGAGACAAAGGTAAAGCACAGTGCTTCAGTGAGGCCAAGGCAGAGTTGACATTACCAATGTCAAGGCTTTATCCTGATTGTTCCAGGTGAATTCAGATCATGAAAGCAAGACAAAAAGAGATTTTAGTCGGAGGAAGGCAAAGAAGCGATGTCTGGCTTAGTGATATAAATCCCATTAAAAAGCTGGCACTTCTGGGGTATCAGAAACATTCTATATCTTGACCTGGTAGTGGTAACATGGGTGTGTGTCTATGCAAAAAATCATTGAGTTGCATACTTCAGATTTGAGTACTTAAATATATGTATAAGTCAATACAAAAAGAAAAGAATAGTGGTAGAAATGTGGACCAGAATTATGGAAGGACTATGAAGGCCATAAGTACTTTTGGCTTAATCTGAAATGCATTGATAAATCACTCTAGTTTCTTAGGAAGAGAGAACACTGATTGATATGGCAGAGGTGTGCAGGGTATATCAGAATGAGATGATACTGAAGTCAGGGAAGCCAGTTAGGAGGCTTATGGACCGATTCTTGGTATGAGTTGAAGACCTAAACTAATAAAGTGACAACCTGAATGGAAGAGAAGAATATAATAGGCATTTTTAGAAAAGAAAGGATTAGAAAAATTGATTAATTAGATAGAGAAGATGAAGGGCACAGAGAAGACTTCAAGGCTTTTAGCTTGGGAACTAAAGAATCATGACCAATAAAGTCATGTGTGGGCCCCCATGCATCTATATGGTTTTAGGCTTGTTGGTTTTCTGCTCAGTGCTATTATGAATCTCATGCTGCGTGTACAATGTAAGAAGTTATTAGAACCCAGAGTAATGGCTAATATTTTATTTCATGTTGGGTGGTTCCAGCTAATATAGAAACTGAAATTTTCAAGAGTACAGGTCTGTAAACACCCAGGTATGTTCAAAGACACTTAGAGAAATATATACATAGAAATGTAGAATCTCAATTAAAAAAAAAGGAGAAGCTGAGACTGAAGATGGCAGTGAGGTAGGTGGGAGCTGAACCCACTTGCTCATGTACCCAACTGGGACACCTAGCTGATCTTCTGAAAAACAGAGTGAACTGCCAATGGAATCCCAGCTTTTATGGAATTTGGAGGCCAAAATTGTAGAGGACATTGAAAGCCAGATGGTAAGGTGATTGTGTTGAGACTGTAAGGTCTCTGGGACCTGAGTGGGGATCAAGGCTGCTGTGGTCCTGGGCCTGGCGCCTGGTGCCAGGGTCAGTGGCTAGCACAGGAGCTTTGGAGGAGAGCCAGATCAGTGATTGTAACTCTGAAGCTCCCTCCTCTACCAGAGTAGGCAAGGCAGCACCATACCAGGAGACACCTGGATGCTTGGTCTCTGAAGAGAATAAAGATGCAGTACGAGATGCACAGAGACAGTATGCCCCCACTGGGACTGTGGTCTCTGGGTAGGACATTACCCGAGAAATTGGGGAGCTAGGTGACATCTGGAGAGAGGAGAAGAGTTGCAGTGTGGTAGACCCTGACCCAGAGAGTCTACAGACTAGGCAGAGAGTTGTGATGTGTGAAAAGTCAAGCACTTGTTAAGAATGGCAGACACAAACAAGAGGAATTTACTAAAAAAAAAAAAAGGCTCTCAGCTGCTTTTTAAGGAACTCTCAGAGTGACTGGGCCAGCAGAAAGGGAGGAGGAGGGGCATGATTTGCTCCAAATCAGGGAGCCTCATGGACTGATCAAGGTGGGGCAGCAGGGGCTCAGAGGGGTAGCAGTCCCCAGAGAGACTTAATTTAAGAGGGGAATTAAACTGCCCTGTAGGGACTTTGAGAGTGTGCAGCATTCAGGCCAGCAAAGAGGGAGGAGGTGGAGTGTGAGTTGCTCCTAATCAGGGCACCTCACAGGCAGAACAACGTGGTGGATTAAAGGCACCAGCTTAGTGCAGATGGATAGTGGGGGCCTGGCAGCACTCCGAAGGCCTGGGCTAGAAGCTAAGCACCTGTAAATATTGTAGCCCAGACCTAGCCTCCATCCTGACAAAACCACAGGAAAGGAAAAAAGCGAAGCCCAGCCATCTTCTGCCTGCAGCATCCAGGAAGGCCAGCAGAACTCCCTTAGCAGGTTTAAACTCAACAGTAGGCTTTCTTTTTTCTCTTTTCCCAAGTGTGAAACAATAAGACCTAGAGCTGTGACAGAACCAGAAACAGATCCAGAGGGGCATCACAAGGCTAACACCAACAACTAAGAAACTGAGAAAAATTTCACTTTGCTATCCTATAGAACTTGTATTTTATTGTTTACTTTTATTTTTTATATTTTTATTTATTTTATTTGATTACTATTTTTTATTTTCTTTCTGTTTAGTTTTATTTGTTTAATTACATTGACTGGTTTTCTTTCTTTTCTCTTTCCTATTGCATTTTAGTTTTTCTTCTTTCACTTCACTCATTCCAACAACACACTACTCTTGGTCTTTTACTTTCTATTCTTTTTATTCAGATCATATATTTCTTGTCATATTATTGTTGTTTCAAAATTATTGTACATAATTGTTCCATATTATTGTAAATACTACACAGCACCCCTCCCTAGTCTTGGCCCATTTCACTATCTTCCTGAGCTTTATTACTGTTGTGGTTAACCCTATTCTCTTGCAGGCTATGCCTAGTTTCTATCCTTTACTCTCACTATATCTCACCATCTAACCTCACACAAATGCTAAATTTTCTGGCTATAGCTCACATTCCTTCTCCCCTCTAATATGGCTTTTATCTGTTTTTGAGATTTTATAAGAAGTGGTTAGTTGGGTGAAATATCATGGTTATTGCTATACTTCTCCAAAGGATCTCTTAACTGTTCTCTACTTCTTGATACTTTAAATGCCATAGAATACTCTCCCACTGCCTTAATCCATTATGCCTTCACTCTGCTACTGATCACATACAAGATAAGGTAGGAGTTGTGAACATCAGTAAACTTTCCGGAGAAGAGAACCCAACAACAAAGGAACTGTCAAAGGTAAAAACCAAATAAAACAAGAGAGCTCACACAAACAGAAGAAAGGACAACCCTAGAATATGTGGATTTGACAATGAGATCAAAGAGACCACACCACTGAATCCCACTGAACTCCTACCACAAGAATTCCTACCATAGAAGTTTACCCTACAAAGACAGCTAGCAAAGCAGAACATCAGGAAGCACAGAAACAAACAAAAAGACTCACCTAAAATGGGGGGGACAAAGAAAGAACCTGCAAAAAAAAACAATGGAAGTCTCCCCACTAAAAGAACTAAATGAATTGGAGACAACCAACTATCAGATACAGATGTCAAAAGAATGGTTATAAGAATACTCAAGGAGCTCAGAGACAACTAAAAGGAACCGAGTAAGAACTAAAATAGTTTGAAAAAGGAAATAGAAACTATAAACAAGAACCAGAAAGAAATGAAGACTACAATTTCTGAAATTAAAATAAAAAACACTAGAAGAAATTACAAGCAGGCTGCATGGAGCAGAGGACTGAATGAATTAGTAAGCTGGAAGACAAGGTGGAAAGAAACACCCAGGTAGAGCAGCTGCAGGAAAAAAGACTCAAAACATATGAAGAGAGTTTACGGGAACTCCAAGACAATAAAAAACACAACAACATTTGAATCATAGGAATACCATAAGGAGAAGAAAAGAACTAAGGAATAGAAACCCTGTTTAAAAAAATAATGCCAGAAAACTTTCCAAACCTGGAGAAGGAAAAGCCTTGCAAGTTCAGGAAGCACACTGAGTCCCAATTAAGACGAACCCAATGAGGCCTATTCTAAGAAACTTCATAATTAAAATGCCAAGTTTTAAAGACAAAGAGAGAATTTTTTTTACATTTTCATTTTATTATTATTTAATTTTTAATTGTTGTTCAAGTACAGTTTTTGCCTTTTACTCTCATCCCAGCCCACCCCCAGTTCTCATCTCCCTCCTGTTTCCACTCCCATATGATCTCACCTTTAACAGGAACCTAATCAACAAAATAAACAAACAAGCAAAATATAACCAAAGACACTGAAATATAGAACAGGCTGACAATGACCAGAGTGGAGAGGGGAAGGAATTTTGGGGGGGAAAAGGGAAGGGTTTACAGGAACAAGTATAAAGGACACATGACCAAAGAGAGAATCTTAAAAGCATCAAGGGAGAAACCAGAAGTAACATACAAGGGGGTTCTGATAAGGCTAGCAGCTATTTCTCAACAGATACACTTCAGGCTGGGAGAGAATGGCAAAAAAATATTACAAATAATGAAAAGAAAAACTTTGCAACCAAGACTACTTTGCCCAGTGAGGCTCTGAATTAAAATGGAAGGTGAAATGAGTTTCCCTGACAGAAGAAAGCTGAAAGAATACGCTTCTACCAAACCAGCACTGCAAAATATGCTAAAGGAACTGCTATAAGACAAGGAAAGAAAAGAGTGAGAGAGAGGAACACAGGTACAAAGGGGGGAAATGAATGAGTACCTATGAATAATAACTTTAAATATTAATGGATTAAATGCTCCAATCAAAAGACATAGGGTAGCTGAATGGATACGAGAATATGACCCACACATATGCAGCCTACAGGAGACACATCTCAGGGAAAATAACAAAACAAACACAGACTGAAAGTGAATAATTGAAAAAATATTCCAAGCAAATAGACAGGAAAAAAAGCTGAAGTAGCAATATTTATATCAGACAAAATAGACTTCAAAAATCCATAAAAGACACAAAAGTATACTTCATAATATTTGAGGGAAGAATCCATAAAGAAGATATAAATATTGTAAACATTATGCACCCAATATAGGAACACTGAAATATATAAGGAAAACATTGGAGAACTTCAAGAAAAATGTAGACAGCAACACACTTAAAATAGAGGATTTCAATACCCAACTGTCAAAAATGGATAGAGCTTCCAAACAAAATATCAAAAAAGATATTGTGGCATTGAACAATGTCCTAGATCAAATGGACTTGACAGGAATAAATAGAACCTTTCA